CCGAACCAACAGATAACCTACTGCTAAACTGCTGAAAAAGTTAATGCTGGTTTTGATGGAACACAGTCAGAATACACATTTTGTTGTGTAGTGGGCTGTGTAGCTTCAGACCGGTCAGGATGCCCATACTGACTCCTTTCTACTGCCGAAAGCATGAACAATGTGCCTGTGAGAATCAGAACTGGACCAAGGAGAAGTGGAAGAAGGTGGTCTGGTCTGATGAATCACGTTTTCCTTTACTTTACGTGGATGGCTGGTGCATGTGTTGCTCACCTGGAGATCACCTGGCACCAGGATGCGCTATGGGAAAAAAGCAAGAGCCAGTGTGATGCTTCAAGCACAATTTTGCTAGGAAACCTCAGGACCTGCCATCCATGTGGATGATAACTTGACACACACCACCAATATTGTTGCAGACTGCGTACACTGATTCATGGAAACGGTACTCCCTGATAGCTGTGGCCTCTAGAAGCACAACAATGAGTTTGAGGTGTTGACTTGGCCTCCAAATTCCACAGTTCCTCGATGCAATCGAGGAACTGTGGGATGTGCTGGAAAAACAAGTCTGATCTGTGGAGGCCTCACCTCATGACTTACAGAACTTAAAGGTTCTGTTGTTAACATCTTGGTGCCAGATACCACAGCACGCCTTCAGTGGAGTCCATGCCTCAATGGCTCAGTGCTGTTTTGGCAGCAAAATGGGGGCTGCCACAATATTAGGCAGGCGCTTATAATGCTTTAAATGATTGGTGTATATACCTCTGTCAGAAAGATTTTTCTGTGTTCTGAATGCATGTTTTACAGCTGCAAACGCCTTTCACAAGCCTCCAACAACTAAACGCAGATAACGTTTACCAAACAAAGATGGACTATGTTTAACATATGACTATACAACCTCCAATACACCAGTGCAAACACGCAAATGAAGAGAAGCAGTGAAATCATATAGTTCCTTTCCCATCCTCTTCTCAACTCAAAATTTAAAAGCAAGCAGACAAATGCTCCTGAAGGATTACATGTTTAAAGAATTTGAGGTGAAGCTGGAGCTTTGTCTGATGTCAACACTAGAAGGTCTTTAAATCACTTAAGATACTGCTTTTATCTCCTTATGTCACCTCATGTGACATCTCCATAAAATAAGTTTGTTTCCTATATCCAGCTAACTGCTGGGATTTCTTTAACCACCGCTAATCAAACTCAGGTCGGTGGGGGACTGGAGCCTATCCCAGGCGTTACTAGGTGAGAGGCGGAGTACATTCTGGACAACTCAGCAGTCTATTATGAGCTAACAAGGAGAGGCAATCAGTCATGCTCACACTTACAAGTATGACCAACTTATAATCAGCAATTAACCTAACATGCATGTCTTTAGACTGTGGCAGGAAGTCGGGGTACTCGGGGAGAACCTGTGCAGACACAGAGGGAAGTATGCAAACTCCACACAGAAGTATCTGAACTGAAGACATCATAATGAGGTCAAGGGAGAGTGTGCTATCTGTGAGGTTCAATAGGACCCCAAGTATGAGACTGCTGCCCATCAGAGTGAGTAAAAACTCTGCAATCACAATTAGTGCATATACATACAGAGATTCCTTGATTTGTCAGTCAGATGTCACCTTGTTTGTGATT